CTCCTGCCTTAGTCACCCCCCCACCTCTCCTGTCTTAGTCACCTCCCCAGCCTCTCCTGTCTTAGTCACTCTCCCCAGCCTCTCCTGTCTTAGTCACCCTCCCAGCCTCTGCTGTCTTAGTCACACCCCCAGCCTCTCCTGTCTTAGTCACCCCTCCCAGCCTCTGCTGTCTTAATCACCCCCCCCAGCCTCTCCTGTCTTAGTCACCCTCCCCAGCCTCTCCTGTCTTAGTCACCCCCCAGCCTCTCCTGTCTTAGTCACCCCCCAGCCTCTCCTGTCTTAGTCACACCCCAGCCTCTCCTGTCTTAGTCACCCTCCCAGCCTCTGCTGTCTTAGCCACCCCCCAGCCTCTCCTGTCTTAGTCACCCTCCCAGCCTCTGCTGTCTTAGTCACACCCCCAGCCTCTCCTGTCTTAGTCACCCTCCCGCCTCTGCATGTCTTAGTCACCCCTCAGCCTCTTCTGTCTTAGTCACCCTCCAGCCTCTGCGGTCTTAGTCACACCCCCAGCCTCTCCTGGCTTAGTCACCCCCCAGCCTCTCCTGTCTTAGTCACCCTCCCAGCCTCTGCTGTCTTAGTCACACCCCCAGCCTCTCCTGTCTTAGTCACCCTCCCTGCCTCCCCTGTCTTAGTCACACCCCTAGCCTCTCCTGTCTTAGTCACCCCCAGCCTCCCCTGTCTTAGTCACCCCCAGCCTCTCCTGCCTTAGTCACCCCCCAGCCTCCCCTGTCTTAGTCACCCCCAGCCTCCCCTGTCTTAGTCACCCCCCAGCCTCTCCTGTCTTAGTCACCCTCCCCAGCCTCTCCTGTCTTAGTCACCCTCCCAGCCTCTGCTGTCTTAGTCACACCCAAAGCCTCTCCTGTCTTAGTCACCCTCCCAGCCTCTGTTGTCTTAGTCACCCCTCAGGCTCTCCTGTCTTAGTCACCCTCCCAGCCTCTGCTGTCTTAGTCACCCTCCCAGCCTCTCCTGTCTTAGTCACCCCCCAGCCTCTCCTGTCTTAGTCACCCCCCAGCCTCTCCTGTCTTAGTCACACCCCCAGCCTCTCCTGTCTTAGTCACCCTCCCAGCCTCTGCTGTCTTAGCCACCCCCCAGCCTCTCCTGTCTTAGTCACCCTCCCAGCCTCTGCTGTCTTAGTCACACCCCCAGCCTCTCCTGTCTTAGTCACCCTCCCAGCCTCTGTTGTCTTAGTCACCCCTCAGCTCTCCTGGTCTTAGTCACCCTCCCAGCCTCTGCTGTCTTAGTCACCCCCCCCAGCCTCTCCTGTCTTAGTCACCCTCCCCAGCCTCTCCTGTCTTAGTCACCCCCCAGCCTCTCCTGTCTTAGTCACCCCCCAGCCTCTCCTGTCTTAGTCACACCCCCAGCCTCTCCTGTCTTAATCCACCCTCCCAGCCTCTGCTGTCTTAGTCAACCCCCCAGCCTCTCCTGTCTTAGTCACCCCCCAGCCTCTCCTGCTTAGTCACCCTCCCAGCCTCTGCTGTCTTAGTCACACCCCAGCCTCTCCTGGCTTAGTCACCCCCCCCCAGCCTCTCCTGTCTAGTCACCCCCCAGCCTCTCCTGTCTTAGTCACCCTCCCAGCCTCTGCTGTCTTAGTCACACCCCCAGCCTCTCCTGTCTTAGTCACCCTCCCAGCCTCTGCTGTCTTAGTCACACCCCCAGCCTCTCCTGTCTTAGTCACCCCCCCAGCCTCTCCTGTCTTAGTCACCCCCCAGCCTCTCCTGTCTTAGTCACCCTCCCAGCCTCTGCTGTCTTAGTCACACCCCCAGCCTCTCCTGTCTTAGTCACCCTCCCAGCCTCTCCTGTCTTAGTCACACCCCCAGCCTCTCCTGTCTTACTGACCCCCCCAGCCTATCCTGTGTTATTCACAACCCCAGCCTATCCTGCCTTAGTCACACCCCCAGCCTCTCCTGTCTTAGTTACCCCCCAGCCTCTCCTGTCTTAGTCAACCCCCCAGCCTATCCTGTCTTATTCACAACTCCAGCCTATCCTTCCTTACTCACCCCCCAGCCTCTCCTGTCTTAGTTACCCCCCCCAGCCTCTCCTGTCTTAGTTACCCCCCCCAGCCTCTCCTGTCTTAGTCACCCCCCAGCCTCTCTTGTCTTAGGCTGGGGGTGTGACTAAGACAAGAGAGGCTGGGGGGTGTGAGTAAGGCAGGAGAGGCTGGGGGTGTGACTAAGACAGTAGAGGCTGGGGGTGTGACTATGACAGGAGCGGCTGGGGGTGTGACTAAGACAGGAGAGGCTGGGAGGTAACTAAGACAGGAGAGGCTGGGGGGGTGACTAAGGGAGGATAGGCTGGGGGTGTGACTAAGACAGGAGAAGCTGGGGGGTAACTAAGACAGGAGAGGCTGGGGGTGTGACTAAGACAGGAGAGGCTGGGGGGTGACTAAGGCAGGAGAGGCTATGGTGTGACTAAGATAGGAGAGGCTGGGGGGATGTGACTAAGACAGGAGAGGCTGGGGGTGTGACTAAGACAGGAGAGGCTGGGGGATGACTAAGACAGGAGAGGCTGGGGGGGTGACTAAGGGAGGATAGGCTGGGGGTGTGAATAAGGGAGGATAGGCTGGGGGTGTGACTAAGGGAGGATAGGCTGGGGGTGTGACTATCCTCCCTTAGTCACACCCACAGCCTATCCTCCCTTAGTCACACCCCTGGCCTATCCTCCCTTAGTCCACACCCCCAGCCTATCCTCCCTTAGTCACCCCCCAGCCTCTCCTGTCTTAGTCATCATCCCAGCCTCTCCTGTCTTAGTCACACTCCCAGCCTCTCCTGCCATAGTTACACCCCCAGCCTCTCCTGTCTTAGTCACTTCCCCCCAGCCTCTCCTATCTTAGTCACACCCCCAGCCTCTGCTGCCTTAGTCACACCCACAGCCTCTGCTGTCTTAGTCACACCCACAGCCTCTGCTGTCTTAGTCACACCCCCAGCCTCTGCTGCCTTAGTCACACCCACAGCCTTTGCTGCCTTAGTCACACCCACTGCCTCTGCTGCCTTAGTCACACCCACAGCCTCTGCTGTATTAGTCACACCCACAGCCTCTCCTGTCTTAGTCACACCCCCAGCCTCTCCTGTCTTAGTCACCCCCCAGCCTCTCCTGCTTTAGTCACACCCCCAGCCTCTCCTGCCTTAGCCACACCCTCAGCCTCTCCTACCTTAGTCACTCCCCCAGCTTCTCCTGCCTTAGTCACACCCCCAGGTCTCTCCTACCTTAATCACACCCCAGGTCTCTCCTGCCATAGCCCTTTCAGGGTCCAGAGGCCAAATTTCAAAGTATTCACCAGTGCCCAAGAAGTTTCGTAAAATAATTTTGTTATTTTTTCTTATGAAATGGTAGAGAATCTTTTTCTGAAGGTAATAAAACAAAAAGTGCGAAATTTGATGGAAAATTGACGAAATTATGCTCTCACGAATTTTGACGTGTCAGCGATCACTTGACGAAATCCAGGGGTCCACTGTACAGTGGTCCCTCGTTTTTTGTAATTAATCCGTTCCTGGAGCCGTTACTATAAACAAAATTTACGATTTGCGAATCAATTTTCCCCATAAGAAATAATGTAAATACAATTAATCCGTTCCTGACACCCAGAAGTACTAAAACAAAAAAAAATTTTTACATGTAATATACATGTAGTACATAAACAATACAATGGGAAATGATGAATGAAACATTAACAGCATAACACTTACCTTTATTGGAGATTCTTCTTAGTGTATGGGAGACTGGAGGAGAGATTGGATTGTTTACAGTTTGGAAGGGGAATCCCCTTCCAGCAACACCTCAGGTACCAATTGCTTCTCTGGGGTTGCTTCTCTTCTCTGTTTCTTAATGCCACTTGGACCACCTTGAGAGTCACTCTAGTCCTGTCTCGCAAAATAACTGTGGAGAGAGCTCTGTTTCTGGCGTCTCTTTAACACTTCCCTAAAATGGCCCAAGACTTTGTCACTGTACATATTTCTCACCTTCTTTACCACAGGCTTGGCACTAGGAGCTTTCTTTGGAGCCATGGTAGCTTATTTAGTACTTGCAAGCACTAAAATGAGTGGAATATTATGAAATATTTCGTAGGAGCACTTGAAGGGACCTTCACTCACTGGTAAACAATAACAGACTGGCTGGGTAGGGAGGCCGCCCCGGCTCACACCGTGCATACTCGTCCCGGACGAACTACTATTCGCGAGTCAACCTTTGAAAAGCGACTCCATTTTATACGAAAAAATACCCCTATGATTGGCGAAATTTACGATTGCCGAGAACTACGAAAAGTGAGGGACCACTGTACTCTGTTTTTTAAATTAATAATATATAACCAGGAAAAACTATTCATGGTTTACAGCATCCTGATAATTGAATCAGACCTATTAAAAGCCCGCAAAACAGACTGTGGGGTGTACGGGGTCTTTACCCGTCCTCTGAAATATTAGCAAAAAATTGAATGTTTCTGGTACTTAGAGCTCATTTTCAAGCTACTTCAAGTCCTGAAACCAAATAAATTAATCTCCATTTTCTCAGATGATATCAAGAAACAGCCAAAGCAATAAAAACCATCTAAGAAAACACCTCAGAGTTGTTATTTTAACCCGTAAATGGTCCAAGCAGATCTACGTTCACATGCGTAGTGCTACAAAAGTAGATCTACGTTTTTTTTTTACATATTTTCAAATATAACAAAAAGAAAAGTAGATCAAAGTTTTTTACACATTTTCAAATGGAAAAAAACAAAAAGAACTACTTTCTTTATATACTTTCATATGTTGAAAAAACATATATATATATACTTTTGGACCGTTTACGGGTTAAACAATACACATGGTCACAGTTTTGTTTTTCCCATCATGCAATATGTATGGCAAGATTTTGTTAATGCTGTGCACACTAACTACACAGGTTCATTCTCTCATATCTGAACCAAAATTTACCATGATGTAGAGCTACGTCTGGGACAACAAAAGGGTTAATAATAATAATATAAGATTGAAATATGAATCTTAGGCTGTGTTGTGTTTCAGTAATATTACCAGTGAAGAAAGAGGAGGAAAAGAAAGAAGTGGAGATCGTCCTCCCTCCTGCTGCTGCTGCTGCTACTGCTGTTGCAGCTGCTGCTACTGCTGATACTGCTGCTGTTGCTGCTGTCATGGTGGAGACCGAGCGTCAGGTTATTCTCCCAGCGTCTGTCACCAGTGAACTAACAACACTGTCACGACAACCCCAGTTCAGCACTCCTATCATGTTCCACTCCAGATGGTAGTTATTGTCAGCACTCCATCATTGTTCACTCAGTGGTGAGCTATATGTTCAGATGCCTATCATTGTTCCACTCCAGAACAGTGAGTTATTGTTCAGCACCACTATCATTGTTCCATTCCAGGATGGTGAGTTATTGTTCAGCACTCCTATCATTGTTTCACTCCAGGATGGTGAGCTATTGTTCAGCATGCCTGTCATTGTTCCACTCAAGAACAGTGAGTTATTGTTCAGCACCACTATTATTGTTCCACTCCAGGTTGGTGAGTTATTGTTCAGCACTCCTATCATTGTTACACTCTAGGATGGTGAGCTATTGTTCAGTGTTCCTATCATTGTTCCACTCCAGGACAATGAGCTATAGTTCAGCACCACTATCATTGTTCCACTCCAGTATGGTGAGTTATTGTTCAGCACCACTGTCATTGTTCCACTCCAGGGTGGTGAGTTATTGTTCAGAACTGTCATTGTTCCACTCCAGGATGGTGAGTTACTGTTCAGCACCACTATCATTGTTTCACTCCAGGGTGGTGAATTATTGTTCAGCACTGTCATTGTTCCACTCCAGGATGGTGAGTTACTGTTCAGCACCACTATCATTGTTCCACTCCAGGATGGTGAGTTACTGCTCACCACCACTATCATTGTTCCACTCCAGGATGGTGAGTTACTGTTCAGCACCACTATTGTTCCACTCCAGGATGGTGAGTTACTGTTCAGCACCACTATCAGTGTCCCACTCCAGGATGGTGAGTTACTGTTCAGCACCACTATCAGTGTTCCACTCCAGGATGGTGAGTTATTGTTCAGCACCACTATCATTGTTCCACTCCAGGATGGTGAGTTACTGTTCAGCACCACTATCATTGTTCCACTCCAGGATGGTGAGTTACTGTTTAGCACCACTATCATTGTTCCACTCCAGGATGGTGAGTTACTGTTCAGCACCACTATCAGTGTCCCACTTCAGGATGGTGAGTTACTGTTCAGCACCACTATCAGTGTTCCACTCCAGGATGGTGAGTTACTGTTCAGCACCACTATTGTTCCACTCCAGGATGGTGAGTTACTGTTCAGCACCACTATCATTGTTCCACTCCAGGATGGTGAGTTACTGTTCAGCACCACTATCATTGTTCCACTTCCAGATGGTGAGTTACTGTTCAGCACCACTATCATTGTTCCACTCCAGGATGGTGAGTTACTGTTCAGCACCACTATCATTGTTCCACTCCAGGATGGTGAGTTACTGTTCAGCACCACTATCATTGTTCCACTCCAGGATGGTGAGTTACTGTTCAGCACCACTATCAGTGTCCCACTCCAGAATGGTGAGTTACTGTTCAGCACCACTATCAGTGTCCACTCCAGGATGGTGAGTTACTGTTCAGCACCACTATCATTGTTCCACTCCAGGATGGTGAGTTACTGTTCAGCACCACTATCATTGTTCCACTCCAGGATGGTGAGTTACTGTTCAGCACCACTATCATTGTTCCACTCCAGGATGGTGAGTTACTGTTCAGCACCACTATCATTGTTCCACTCCAGGATGGTGAGTTACTGTTCAGCACCACTCTCATTGTTCCACTCCAGGATGGTGAGTTACTGTTCAGCACCACTATCATTGTTCCACTCCAGGATGGTGAGTTACTGTTCAGCACCACTATCAGTGTTCCACTCCAGGATGGTGAGTTACTGTTCAGCACCACTATCAGTGTCCCACTCCAGAATGGTGAGTTACTGTTCAGCACCACTATCAGTGTTCCACTCCAGGATGGTGAGTTACTGTTCAGCACCACTATCATTGTTCCACTCCAGGATGGTGAGTTACTGTTCAGCACCACTATCATTGTTCCACTCCAGGATGGTGAGTTACTGTTCAGCACCACTATCATTGTTCCATTCCAGGATGGTGAGTTACTGTTCAGCACCACTATCAGTGTTCCACTCCAGGATGGTGAGTTACTGTTCAGCACCACTATCAGTGTTCCACTCCAGGATGGTGAGTTACTGTTCAGCACCACTATCAGTGTTCCACTCCAGGATGGTGAGTTACTGTTCAGCACCACTATCATTGTTCCACTCCAGGATGGTGAGTTACTGTTCAGCACCACTATCATTGTTCCACTCCAGGATGGTGAGTTACTGTTCAGCACCACTATCATTGTTCCACTCCAGGATGGTGAGTTACTGTTCAGCACCACTATCAGTGTTCCACTCCAGGATGGTGAGTTTACTGTTCAGCACCACTATCAGTGTCCACTCCAGATGGTGAGTTACTGTTCAGCACCACTATCAGTGTTCCACTCCAGGATGGTGAGTTACTGTTCAGCACCACTCTCAGTGTTCCACTCCAGGATGGTGAGTTACTGTTCAGCACCACTATCATTGTTCCACTCCAGGATGGTGAGTTACTGTTCAGCACCACTATCATTGTTCCACTCCAGGATGGTGAGTTACTGTTCAGCACCACTATCATTGTTCCACTCCAGGATGGTGAGTTACTGTTCAGCACCACTATCATTGTTCCACTCCAGGATGGTGAGTTACTGTTCAGCACCACTATCATTGTTCCACTCCAGGATGGTGAGTTACTGTTCAGCACCACTATCATTGTTCCACTCCAGGATGGTGAGTTACTGTTCAGCACCACTATCATTGTTCCACTCCAGGATGGTGAGTTACTGTTCAGCACCACTATCAGGCAGACTTATCATAATACATAATAACTACTCAAGTCTAGACAACATAAGAGTGGTTAACTTTTTAATAAATCTTTATTTTATCTTAATACTAATGTGAGGTAGTCAAGGCAGAGGATTGTAAGAATAATAATTTTGAAGTTGCACATAAAAACAACTTTACAATTAATGGTTCAACAGCAATATTTCATGGTCTGGCAGATGGGTTAATAGACTCGAGGTCATAAATATAATATTTGGGAGTTGCTTTGAACTGGTTAGGAGTTGTTTTGGTTAATGTTGAGAGATAGATGATTTTTAAGCCCTAAATTTGTATGTTGTCAGCGGGATCCTTTACCGGATCAGGTAGTGAATTCCAGATCTTCGGGCCCTTAACCCTTTGACTGTCACAAACCCATATCTGAAACTGTCATTCTATGTCACAAAATTTTTGGGAAAAAAAAAATTCTTATGAAATGATAGAGAATCTTTTCTGATGGTAATAACACCAAAAGTACAAAATTTGATCGAAAACTTATAGAATTATTCTCCTGCAAAGTTACCGATCTCGGCGATATATACACATTGGCAATTTCGCTGACTTTGAGCCCTATTTTCCACCAATTCCATTGTTCCAGTCGACCAAACTCATAGTTATTTTTTTAGAACTCCATTTTTTCTATCAGTTGAGTACAAGAAACTGCCCGTTTACCGATTTCAACTACCCAATAAAGTTAAAAAAGATGCCAATTTCAAAATAGGGTCCAGAATAAACAATGCAGACATTCTTGGCACTAAACTAACATATCCTCTGTTCATTAGTCACATCTCCAGTCCCCTCTTATATTATTCATGCTTTCTATTTTGATTTTTTATTCACACAAAAAATAGATTTACTGTTATGCAGTCTACTGCATTATTGTAAAAATGGTATAAATAATATTAGTGCACTAGTGAAAGAGTATTAGACTCCCCAGTTGATGTGTATTGGACGTGTGGTGTGATTTGTTTACTCTTGAACATTGGTAAAAATCGAACATTTCCGCTACTTTAAGCTCAATTTCAAGGTCGTTTTCATTGTGAAACTAATCAAAATCATCTCTATTTCTGTAATATGTTTTCCATTCTATCAAATGAGACCAAGAAAACGAGAACACAACCATAAATACTATACGAAAATACACCTCAAAGTCGTCGTTTTAACCCAAAAACACGGTCGGGGTTTTTTTCTCATGCACTGTGTGCTGCAAGATTTTTTTTATACAGTGCACACTTACCACAAAGACCCATTCTCTCACATGTGGGCCTACCAGCTTTCTCCTGCTTGATTTGAAGCCGCTAGAATTATTGGTATACAGTGGACCCCGCCCAACGGCTTTAAATCCATTCCAGAGTGCTAGCCTTGTAAAATTACCCGTTAGTTGATTAATTTTCCCATAAGAAATAATGAAAATGAATTAATCCTTTCCCAGACCCCAAAATATTAAAAAAAATCTTTTTTTTTTTACATGAAATTACTTTTCCCCTACACGAAACGAATGTACATGCAAAGTAAGCAAAAATTTAAAGCCACTTATTTTTTTTTGGAGTTGTTGATGAGAATGTGCCAGCAGCAGGGGATATTCGGGTTTTTCTATTGTTTGGGAAGGGGAAACCCCCTTCCCATAAACACTTCAGGTATCAAGCCTTTGCTGGGGTTCCCTCCCTTCTTGGTTTTTAAATGCCCTGGGCCCCGTTTGAGAGTCATGGCCCCCTGTCGAAAAATATCGTCCAAAGAGTTTGTTTCTCCATACCTTGGTTTTCCAAATGGGACCAAGGTGTCATTGTACTTGTTGCCAATAGGGCTTGAACGCTGTGACAGGAAAAAAATTCATCCAAAAATTTTGCACCTTTTAAACATTGTACACTTTTCCCTTTAAATCCTTGACGAAGGAACTTCCCCCGTCTTCTTCCCCCTGCTCTGAAGCCTTTCCCTGGATGTCTGTTGCTGTTGCACCCAAGCTCTTTGCAGCTCTGCAGTGGGGTTCTTCATCGTCATTCTGAAACCCAACCTTAAATTCTCCCACAAAACCCCCAAACCCCCATGATTTCCCCCAAGAAAAAATAGTTCCCAAAATGGCATAGGTTAAGGGTTAGCCCCAAAAACCCCTTCAAACCCCTTTTGTCCATTGTGGCCACATTTTCCCTCCAAGCAGAGTCAAAGCCCTGAAAGTCACTCCTTCCAACCCTTCCCTTAAGGTTTATGCAATGAGGTATTGAAGGATCTTTCCGAACTCTCTTAGGGTAAAAATGAGTGTCTGGGGCCCACTTCAAAGCATTTTGAAACACTGCTTTTGTGTAGAGTTTTTTGAAGTTTGAAAAGACCTGCTGGCCCATGGGTGGGGAGAGGAGCTTTTTTAGGAGGCAAAAAATTTACTTTGAAGCTAAACTCCCCGCAATTTACTCTTTAGGGGGTGGGGATGAGCGGAGCATTTTCCCTTACCCGGAGGCCCTTGGGGTAACAATTTCTTTTCCGGAGGAATTTTTTAGATGGGGCCAATACATCTTAAAAACCCGCCATGAACTTTCCCCAGTGACCCCTGCCTTTTGTTTGATCTCCACAGCACACCATAGACCTTTCGATATTGTTTTTCCCGAAAAATCTGGGAGTTTTGAGGTACCCATAAAGGTTTCCCTTTTTCAGTGCCCTAGCATTCACACAAAATTAAAGTCACCTGTCTTTCATAGGCTTTTGTCTAGGGTGCCTTTTCCCCCTGATTAAGTAGGGCCCCGTTTGGTATTTTTCTTCCAAAAACAAGCTGTTTTGTCCAAATTAAAACTTGCAGGTTTTAAGTTTTCAGTGTCTTGACCCTTAAAATCTGCAATATTTTTCAGCTGTTTTTTTGTCTGAACGGGCCCCTCCCCATGCCTTACCACCGGTTTTATGCCACTATGATTTTTAAAATCTCTAAAAAACCACCCTTTGCTGGCCTTAAATTCATAAATTTCTCCTATTTTGATGCATTTTTTTTAATGGGATCATCATGCAATGCCTTACCTTTTCCCATTTCCCAAGAAACACTATCTCCTAAAAATTATTTTTCTTTTCTCCATCTTCATTTTTTACAATCTCTGTTTTGAAAACATACTTGCACCTTTTGAAACAACAGTTCCTTGATTCCCTTTCTGTTCGCCAAGGGTAGTGATGGTTGAAGGGATTTGTTATATACCCTTTTTCCAACTCGGACATCGCACCCCCTTTTTAAAATTTTAAATGATCTTTTTCTTTATTTCCATAGTAATCTCCCCCTTTTTTACCACAGGTTTGGCACTAGAAGTTTTTCTTGGGGCCCCAATGGTGGCTATTTGTGGTTTAAAACATAAAAAAACACTTGAATAAAAAATTTATCCAGGTACAGTGGAATCGCCACAACAGTTTTAAACAATGGCCACCTTGAGTTTTTGGAGGGGCTGGGCCCACCAGGCTCGTCTGGCGCATGGACCGTTTGGGCGAAAACCATTAGAGGTTTTTTACCATTGGGTAGAGCCCTTTTTTTTTTATGCCCAAAGCGCACCGTTAGACGAATTTGCCATTAGTCGATGCCGCTGTTGGTTGGGGTCCACTGAATATATGTGCGAAACGCTGACTCATAAGACCTATACATACAGCCGAAACAGTCAAAGGGTTAATGTGCATTGCATTTTTGCAAAGTGTGAGACTGCCATAAGGGATGTCAAAGAGTGCCTTATGCCTTGTATTGTGACTGTGTGTTCTGTTGTAGCTATCAATCAGAAGTTTAAGTGGAGGGTTTATATTGGAGTTTAATGTTCTGTATACAGTATATTGTAGGCACAATAATATGAGTGTACGTCTCGTATATTTACTAGATTCAGGCTTTTGTAAAGCGTTGGGGTGTGTTGTCTGGCACAGGAGCTGGTAATCATACCAGGATGATGAGTTATTGTTCATGTCTTGTGCCATAGTTCACTCTACACCTTGATGGTATTGTTCAGGTCTGTCATGGTT